ATCGGCTGCCGCGCGGGGGGGAGCTGCCAGCCAATCGGCTGCCGCGAGAGCGGAGCTGTCAGCTAATCGGCTGCCGCGCGGGGGGAGCTGTCAGCCAATCGCCTGCCGCGTGGGGGGGGAGCTGTCACCCAATCGGCTGCCGCGCGTCAGTCGAAGCAACCTATGGGCGACTCCGGGGCGGTTTAAAAGGTGGCGCCGTTGGCTCTGGGGTGCACTCTGCTGTGTTTTACAGTGGTTTGCGTTTTGTTGCTCCAGCCTTTTCTGTGTTGTTGGTCTCTGAGGTGAGCTGAGGGGTCGGGGGTAGGGTGTGCGAGTCTTGCTTTGTGCTTCAAGCTGTATAAAAGAAAAGGGGTTTCGGCAAGGGGTTTGGAACGCAGGTCTGATGGGCGATTGCTGCTGGGTGGGTTTGGGAGCTTGCTTACCCTGGAGAAGAGGAGGTTTAGGAGAGGCCTGATCGCTCGCTCCAGTGAAAGGAGGATGCGGCCAGGTGGAGATCGGTGTTTTCTCTCAGGCAACAAGCATCAGGATACAAAGAAATGGCATCAAGCTGTGCTGGGGTGGGGATTTAAGTTGGCCATTAGGAACAATTTCTGACAGAAGGGGTGGTTAGACATTAGAACGGGCTGTCTAGGGAGGTGATGGAGTCACTGTTCCGGGAGGTGGTTAAGGAAAAATTTAATGTGGTACTCAGTGCTATGGTGTGGTTGGCATGGGAGTGTTTAAGTCTGACTCGATTATTTAGAGATCTTTTCTAGCCTCACTAGCTAGAAGCTAGCTAGCTCAGAAACATTCTGAATTTTCCTGTAGAGCTCTTTAATGAGCTGTTGCTTGCTCACCTGTGTCATGACAGTGCTGAGCACAATGCAGGAGCACTAATAGTGCCCTCAAACCTGAGGGTCTTTAGCTGAGCTACTGTATAATGCTGGGTAGTAGGGGTTTGTTCTCTTTGAGAGACCACTATGTGATAGCTCTTTTATTAATGGAGCTTACTTTAAAAGTGTGTTGTGATGAGATAAATGACAAAAAGTGTTTTCCCTTTTTCCTCTTTGGACTCTACAAGGTGGTCTCATCAATCTGAAGATGGCAACTCTGATCTTTGTTGATCAGGAGAATGGTGAACTTGGTGCTCCTAAGAGTCAGCTGAAGCTCTCTTCAGGATCTTGTGCGTATTTGCTGCCCTGAGCCAGTAAGGGATCAAATGATGGGCATAAATCACATTTTGTTATTCACTGCTTTTAATGGTAATAGTTTTCTATTCATAAATCCACTTACCCAACCAATTCTTCCAAGCTCATCAGTTAGTATAAAATTGAAAATAGCCCTGTGCTTTTGTCATAACTGTGGCTTATGAGTTATAGATGGTTATTTCTATGACAGCTAGTTTTCCAGTATGTGCAATTATGCAAGCTTTAGGGTTGATGTTTCCTTTTTTCTTCCCTCCTCATTCCAGCAAAAGTCTTAGCTGAAAGAACACAAGTTAACACTCCACTTCCTAAAAAAGCTATCAGTACTTCTCCAGTCACATCTCATTCTGTCAGAAAGGCTCTTGGAAATGTAAATAAAACTGAACGAGTCATGGGCAAGATGGATAGGATAAAACAGAAAAATCAGCCTTGCACTGTGAACAAAGTAAGTACATCACACTTATGCTGGGGAGGAGGGGAAATCCATCATTTTCCTGCTGTTGTGCTTAACTGTGACATAAGTAAGCCCCACACAGGTGCTCCCTCACTCCCTCCTTGGTGGGATGGGGGAGAGAAGTGGAAGGGTGAATGTGGGAAAGAAAAACAAAACCAATTCCTTGCCACCAGTTGACTAATGCCTTGCTAGTCCCAGAGCAGTGGTAGCCCTGCTTTCTCACTAATTTTCTGTGCTGAGATGTCATGTATGTCCCTCTGGGCAGCTGGATCAGCTGTCCTGGCTGTGAACCCCCAGCCTCCTTGCTGGTGGGGTTATGAGAAGCAGAGAAAGACTGGACTGTGTAAATACTACTTGGCAATAGCTGAAAGTGCTGTGTGTATATCAATGATGTTTTCATTATGTATCCAAAGCATGGGTTCATAATACTTGATAGGAAGAAAAATAACTCTATCCTACTTAAAAGCAGGGCACCTCTATAGCTGGTTCTAGAGAAAATAGTCTGAGTTAATGTCATATCCATATCTAGCAAGAGTTACCTGTTCTAGTGCAGTCATCTCTTGCCACCACATACTGTACTGCACTACATAAACTCAGCTGAAACACTTGCCCGTCTTCATCTCATTTGTGTGTTGAAGGCATTAGAACTTAGACCTGACTAAGGGTATGATAGGTATGCTTGTCTGTAGATCTGAACAGCACAGGAAAGCTACTACAAATATTCCAGCAGCTCAATTAATGTTACTTCTTTTTATGACTAACAAAAAGACTGGATTAGAAAGCTGCCGTACAGTGGCTGAAGAAGATTGGCCAGAAATAGAAAATATGTTTCCTTTGGATCCTCAAGGTAAGAACTATTGATATAATTAATAAAGTTAAC